GTTGCTCACTTAACACTGAAGTGGATACTAAGCATATTATCAACCAGCAGGTTCTTCTGTAAAAATTTTGATGAAATACTGAGAAGGTTTACCACTGATGAATCAAGCCTTCTCTAAATCAATAATTTTATAATTATTCAAGATAAAATTGTGAAAAACGTTTAAAATTACAAAATATTTTGTAATTTTAAACGTTCATCATATTGATGATATTATTCAAAAGAAACACGTTGCCAGTAGATTTAATTAGTAAATTAAATTTAATTGCCATCTATCATTAAAACTTTACACAAATAAATTTTACTGGCAATGCGTTTCTTTTAAATATCATCAAATATTTTCTCTACAGACCTTACTGAAATGATATGGACGAGTGGGTAACACCCTCGATTCCCAACAGTCATGAACCGGGATTGAATCCCGCGTTAACATTTTGTTTAATATGTGAATAACCTTCATATATTATTCATTGTTTCAATTATCATAAACTATGTTGCTCTTGTTGAGCGGTACCTAATAAAGTGATTTTGAACCGGAATCCAATACAATAGTAGAGCGGTCTAGAGATTAATTTGGCGAAACCGCTGAGAGGGTTCACTACTGATGAGCCAAGCCCTCTCATTCAATAACTCATATCATTGCAGTAAGGTCTGTAGAGATAATATTTGATGATATTTAAAAGAAACGCATTGGCAGTAAATTTATTTGTGTGAAATTTTAGGAGATTTAATTGTTACACATTTTATACTACAGAATGTGTTCCCTCTTGCAAGGCTGTAGCTCGCGAAAGAAGAACGGGATTCGTGTGATGTTATATTTATTCAAAAGAACAACCATTGATTTATATTTCATCAAAAATACTATCTTTAAATATTCGAAATGTCTAAAATTATAAGTGATTTTGTAAAAGGTTACGTTTTCAGATTTTCCGAGGAGAAATATTCGTTTACCCAAATTATTAAAAATATAAAAGAATATTGATATTACTAAGTTTACAATCAAGAAGAGTCGGTGGACGAGTGGGTAACACCCTCGATTCCCGACAGCCATGAACCGGGATTGAATCCCGTGTTAACATTTTGTTTAATATGTGAATTCACATATTATTCATTTTTGTAATTATCATAAACTAGGTTGTTCTTTTTGAGCGGTACCTAATAGAGTGATTTTGGAACAAGACCAAGAAGTTCACAATCAGTCACATCTTCTTTCTTATCTCCACTCAGTCATATTAGGGTATCAAGCTTCAACAACCATCATGACTGGATAAAGTTAAATCCAAAAGACAAAAACCTCTCGCAATCAGTATCTTTTATTATTACAAATAACGGACGCTAGCTTTCGAACAATTAGTTCTTCAACGGGCGTTCTTACAAAAAAGTAGAATGCGTCTGCCTTTGTCATTACGATTGGGAGCACTACTCTAGTGGCAGGCCGACTTAGCTCCAAAAGAAATGGCCGCCTATGACATGAAGAACAGACGCCATGTGCAGCCGCTCCTAACATGGAATACAAACGCTGCTGATCCTGTATCCCTGGATTAGGAGCCCTTACAGGGTACTATCAGCTGGGCCAGCTGAACCCAGGTTGTTTAGTGAGCTTGTTACTGCTCTCCCTCCTTCTTTTTCATCCGGGCTTGGGACCGGCAAAGGCGGAGTTAATCAGTCACATAATAAAGGAAAATAATGAAAATTTTGATATTTATAAAATTAAGTGGAAATTCTGTATTAGTTGAATTGCTGTTGTAGGTGTGAGGTGTATGTGTGAACTGAATGGATGATCCATCTTGGCTGAAAATCAGCAATAAGAGCCTGAAGAGTTATAGCCAGCCGCGGTGTAAGAAATTTTTCTCCACCTCGTCAAGAGAGATTCCAGAGGCCAGCTGGCTACTGACACATCACCGTTTCGTCAGCCCATTAGCGAGTTCCTCTCCCGGGCCTCTGCTCTTCACGGGGCGGCACTTACTTGGAAATAAACCTCGTAGAGGACATCACGCTCTCTAGTCACTTACTAACATAGAATCAATAGAGCATCTTTTTCATTTTCACTTATAAACCTTCATTCTCTGGTGTGACTTATTTTGTTGTTGTTGCCGTGTCCAATGAAGAACCTTAGATGTCTCCATACATCTCTATCACAGCAGTCGTTCTCTATCATGGGTGTGTATACTGTATTGTTGTTGTTGTCGTGTCCAATGAAGAGCCTCAGATGTCTCCATGCATCTCTATCACAGCAGTCGTTCTCTATCTTGGGTGTGTATACTGTATTGTTGTTGTTGTCGTGTCCAATGAAAAGCCTCAGATGTCTCCATGCATCTCTATCACAGCAGTCGTTCTCTATCTTGGGTGTGTATACTGTATTGTTGTTGTTGTCGTGTCCAATGAAGAGTCTCAGATGTCTCCATACATCTCTATCACAGCAGCCGTTCTCTATCTTGGGTGTGTATACTGTATTGTTGTTGTTGTCGTGTCCAATGAAGAGTCTCAGATGTCTCCATACATCTCTATCACAGCAGCCGTTCTCTATCTTGGGTGTGTATACTGTATTGGTGTTGTTGTCGTGTCCAATGAAGAGCCTCAGATATCTCCATACATCTCTATCACAGCAGTCGTTCTCTATCTTGGGTGTGTATACTGTATTGTTGTCGTTGTCATGTCCAATGAAGAGCCTCAGATGTCTCCATACATCTCTATCACAGCAGTCGTTCTCTATCTTGGGTGTGTATACTGTATTGTTGTTGTTGTTGTGTCCAATGAAGAGTCTCAGATATCTCCATACATCTCTATCACAGAAAATTCCTCTATCTTAGGTGTGTAAAGCTGCTATGTGTGACTTATATTAATATCAACTAGGAATCCTGAGTTAAGTTTCTTGTACCATTTTTATTTCTCTAACTTTCAGGTTAACATGCCCTTCAACAAGAATACCTATAAGTATAACTTCCAGCTAACTACAAATCTATCTCTTAGCTTATTCCTTTTGCTATCCAACATATGACGCTTATCGGCCGAAGTTCCGCTTGAGCTTTTTTCTCTATTTATCTAATTATTTATTAATTATATATTGAAAACAAACATTTTTAAAATTTATTTTTTACAAAACACACTCTATATCCTATGTGGATATTTGCATGTAAATATTTAATCTATTTTATGTACATAGTTTAAAATATATATACAAATTATTTATAGTTTTAAAGAGAGAGAGTGAAAGTTATTTAAATTTACATTTTATAGCAATAAATTATACAAGAAATAAAGATTATTTACATACATATTATCAAAAGTCCAATATATCTCAAGAATTACAACCACTAAACCAGTGGCACAAATATAGAACATTGAAAATAAACATCTTATGTTTAAAATTAGCTATCAAATATTTATATAGTTTCAACTTAATGGTAGTATATATAAATATTTAATCAAAAAGACATATATTGGATCAATTAAAGATATATTTATGGATTGCTATATTTTCAAAACGATATATAAATATATGCTAAATTTTTTAGATATTTTAAAATCGTATATATAATTCTTTTTGAAAATAGAGCACTCCATATTTAATTCATTAGATAATAAAAAGGCATATATTGGATTTAAGAAAAAATGTAATGACTTGATAAAGGTTTGGCGTTCAGCCAACCGAAATTTTGGGAAATAAATATTTTATTAAATCCAATATATGCCTTTTTATTATCTATATATAATTCTGTTATAATGGAATATAGTTTTTTTACTCTTTATCAAAGTGCCAAGCCGTCAATGTAACTTAGAATATTATTTTAACAAAGTCGGTGGACGAGTGGGTAACACCCTCGATTCCCGACAGTCATGAACTGGGATTGAATCCTGCGTTAACATTTTGTTTAATATGTGAATAACCTTCACATATTATTCACTGTTTCAATTATCATGAACTAGGTTGCTTTTGTTGAGCGGTACCTATTAATGTGATTTTGAACAGAATATTGATTTGTTTATCCTACCATTGACTTGTGTGATCAGTAAAACGTTTTCAAATATCCCAACATCTCCCTCTCTTCCACGCAGGTTATCTCAAATTGATAATTATTGAGAAAATTTTTGTAAAACACTTGTTCCAAAATCACTTTATTAGGTACCGCTCAAAAAGAAAAACCTAGTTTATGATATTTGTAACAATGAATAATATATGAATTCACATATTAAACAAAATGTTAACGTGGGATTTAATCCCTGTTCATGACTGTCGGGAATCGAGGGTGTTACCTACTCGTCCACCGACTCTTTTTGTAAAACACTAAATTTTCTACATGGTTAGCTTTTCTTGATTAATCAAGAATGGGTATTTGGTCAAAATTGTAATAATTAAAAAATCAACGAGAATAGTTGATATTTATTCCAACAGATGACGCAAGCCATCAGCAACTTTCAGTTGCACGATAAGGAGATGCAATTTATCTTAATTTATGAACCTTATCCAAGTACAATATCACATTTGTACTATTTTTTCACTTAATTTCCATCAATAAAATCTTTCTTCAAATAAAAGGCACTTCGGCCAGTAAATCTTTTTATTGTCTCGATGTTTCGACAAAAATCTTTTGTCCTCGTCAGGAGCAAACAAAAATAAAACATTTGACAAAGCGTTAGAAATAAAGAGAATAATTTCTAACGCTTTGTCAAATGTTTTAATTTTTGTTTGCTCCTGACGAGGACAAAAGATTTTTGTCGAAACGTCGAGACAATAAAAAGATTTACTGGCTGAAGCGCCTTTTATTTGAAGAACTATAAATGCCGGCCAGGCAACCTCTTATCTTTACGATAATAAAATCTCTAGCTGCGATATTTAAAACTTGGCAAAAAGGAAGGATGCTTTTAGAGAAGACTGAAATTTTGAATAAGCTGTGGTAACAAGAAATTTTAACCATCATTATATACTACATGACAATGAATTTGTAACACCAAGAATTGGTGGGCAAAAAGTTGTGAAAATTTGTATAAATAGAGTACCAGTAACAAACAATAAGTTATCACCCTCCCAAGTACTGACCGGGCCCGACGTTGCTTAACTTCGGTGATCGGACGAAAACCGGTGTTTTCAACGTGGTATGGCCTTAGGCAATAAGTTATCTTTAGAACAATAAACCCCCATTACGAGTACTTTGATGTACAATGTATTATTTAAATATCATATCTATAAAATGTCTCTATTGAATAAGACAACTTTCATCATTGCTTAACATACTGTAAATAACTACCTAGCGATTTCTTCTATCTGCTTATGTTGTTGCTTATTTGTTTAATGTATATGTTTATTCAATGCGCTTTTTTTCTTAATTGTTTATTTTCTTTTCGATAATTCTGTTACCTACTCTACTACAATATTATATCCAGATCGGATATAGCGTGTCTTGTTTGCAACTGGTAAATAAATAAATAAATTGAATAAGAAAATTTTGATAAATAGAAATTTGCTCAACTATTTATTATACCAATATATTCTTATAATAATTCTCAGTTATTTATATAGTGGATTGAACACACAAACATGATAATAGTTCTTTAAAATAAAAGACACTTCGGCTAGAAATTGTTTACATTTTCTCAACGTTTCGACAAAAAATCTTTTGTCTTTGTCAGGAACAAATAAAAATTAAAGCATTTTACAAAGCGTTAAATATGGTGGTGCGATGTCTTGTCTATAGAGCAGATCAGATCGGTCCATACACCCTGATCACAATACCGGCCAACTGAGGTGGTGGTGGTGTCTTGTCCATGGAGCAGATCAGATCGGTCCATACACCCTGATCACGATACCGGCCAACTGAGGTGGTGGTGGTGTCTTGTCCATGGAGCAGATCAGATCGGTCCATGCACCCTGATCACGATACCGGCCAACTGAGGTGGTGGTGGTGTCTTGTCCATGAAACAGATCAGATCGGTCCGTGCACCCTGATCACAATACCGGCCAACTGAGGTGGTGGTGGTGTCTTGTCCATGGAGCAGATCAGATCGGTCCATACACCCTGATCACGATACCGGCCAACTGAGGTGGTGGTGGTGTCTTGTCCATGGAGCAGATCAGATAGGTCCATACACCCTGATCACGATACCGGCCAACTGAGGTGGTGGTGGTGTCTTGTCCATGGAGCAGATCAGATCGGTCCATGCACCCTGATCACGATACCGGCCAAGTGAGGTGGTGGTGGTGTCTTGTCCATGGAACAGATCAGATCGGTCCGTTCACCCTGATCACAATACCGGCCAACTGAGGTGGTGGTGGTGTCTTGTCCATGGAGCAGATCAGATAGGTCCATACACCCTGATCACAATACCGGCCAACTGAGTATTTAAAATATGTAAACGCTTTAATATCAATTTTTACTGGCGAGGAAAAAATATATTTGTTAAAACGTCGAGAAAATATAAACAAATTTCTGGCCAAAGTGTCTTTTATTTTAACGAACACTGAATGCCGATAAATTGTATTTCTATATTTAAAAAAACCTCTATATTCAGGATAAACATGATTCAAGATATACATATTGTTGTTGTAATGTCCATGAAAAGCCTCAGATGTCTCCATGAATCTCTGTCACAACAGTCGCAAGACACGCATATTAAATATAAAATTATAGATTACACTTTCTTTTCCTTTTGGTTGAATATTCCTAACTTAATATGTGACATATATGCATATCTTCTTTAATAATTCTTTTATAATTCCTCGAAAAAAGAATATTGCGTTTCCCTTAATTATTACAGACCACAGAATATTAAGCTCTTTTTCCAGGCGCCAATTACTTCAGAGATAATCTACCCAGAATGGTATTCAAATAAACGTCAATTTTAGTAAATTTTTGATGATGTTAAAAAAAAAATATATATAAAAGATGTAGGAAGATAACTTTCCTTTTCTTTCGTTTGAATATTGGTAGCTTGCTATGTAACATATAGGCATATTTAATTAAAAAGGCATATATTGGATCAAAATATCATTTATTTTACCAATATTTCAGTTGGCTGAACGCCAACCTTTATCAAGGTGTTATAACCTATTTAAAGTGTGTCAACAACAAACTCAGCGCCACATAACGTCAACAGAATTAAGTTTTTAAAATTATTTTGTTATATTCAATGGGGAGAAAAATTTGATAAATATATTTATATTATGGAAAAAATAAAATTTGTAAAATATGGGTGTGAATATTCTTCTTTAATAATTATTCTGTAATTCCTCGAGAAAAATCTTTATATTGCTTTTCCCTTAATTCTTACAGACCACAGAAGATTAAGCTCTTCTCCAGACGTCAAAGATAATCTACCCAGAATGGTATTCAAATAATCTTCAATTTTAGTAAATTTTCTCGTTGGTGTTAAAAAAAGAATATAAAGAAGGATGTAGGAAGATAAAACTGAGATCTTTTTTTACGTCCGTCTCGCTGACAGGGGCGCGAAGACATGTGGCGTGCTCTAAGTAAATCCAAATAGGGAAAAAATGCCGACTCCACCTCATTCCTTCTGGCAGCAAGTCTTTGTTCAGGTGGATCGTCCGTTCTTTTATCCGCTAGTCAAACAGCACGCTGGGTCAGCCCCGCCTTTACCTGCCCGGACGGATATCTCGGCCTCTAATTGTTTATTCGGCTTCAAAGTTTGATTTTGGAATCTTTTTTTTTTATATTTGAATGATTATTACTGTATTAGATATGTATGGTGGAGTTATAGGTATGTTGAATAGAAAGAGAATATTGTTTATTCGAACTCAGATTGGCTTGAAGTTTGATCTTGGTATCTTTTGATATTTCAATGATTCTTATTGTATTGTGAATTTATAGGTAGGTTGAATAAATGTGCTTCAAAATTTGATTTTTCTTAGCATTTTTTTTTTTATATTTCAATGATTCTTATTGTATTAGATTTGTATTGTGAATTTATAGGTATGTTAAATGGAATGAAAGAATTGTTTATTCGAACCCAGCTTGTCATCAAAGTTTGATTTTCCTTAGAATCTTTTGATATTTCAATGTAAATGATAATTCTTATTGTATTAGATATGTATTTGGAATTTATAGGTATGTTAAATAGAACGAAAACGTTGTTTGATTTTCCTTAGCATCTTTTGATATTTGAACGATTTTTATTGTATTGTGAATTTATAGGCATGTTAAATAAATGTGCTTCAAAGTTTGATTTTCCTTAGCATCTCTTTTTGATATTTTAATTATTCTTATTGTATTAGATATGTTTTGTGAATTTATTAGGTATGCTCAATATAATGAAAATATTGTTTATTCGAACCCCACTTGGCTTGAAGTTTGATCTTATATCTTTTGATATTTTAATGACTCTTATTGTTCTGAAAATAGAGCAATCCATAAATAAATCTTCAATTAAAAAGGCATATATTGGATCAAAATATCATTTATTTTACCAATACTTCAGTTGGCTGAACGCCAACCTTTATCAAGGTGTTATAACATTTTAAAGTGTGTCAACGTTGACACACATTAATATGTTATAATACCTAGATAAAGGTTGGCGTTCAGCCAACTGAAATATTGGTAAAATAAATGATATTTTGATCCAATATATGCCTTTTTAATTGAAGACTCTTATTGTATGAGATATGTATTGTGAATTTATAGGTATTTTAAATAGAATGAAAATATTGTATTTATGCTGTTGATATTTATAAATAATCGTAGGTATTAAAAGGAGGTATTTTGTGTTGTGCTAGGATTTAAATCATTAAGATGAAAATTCAAGCTCTTCCAAGAATAAGTTTCTTTTTCAAAATTTAAATTCAAATATCTTAGAGATTCCAGGCACATGAAAGTCTTTCTACGAGGGTGAGTAGAAAAGTAAGGTCTCCTATTTTTTTTCATAGAAAAACACATTTAATCACAACTTTTTATACATCATTGGAAAGGTTGGACACTTTGCTATTTTTCAACATAGTCGTCTTGATGCTCAATCACTTTTTTTTTCATCCTGTCAACCAACTTTGTAATTTCGGTGTTGTACCACTCTCCCGCCGCCTCTTTGAGCCACTTGTCGACCCACCTGGCGGACACCTTTCTGTAGCCGAGGGTCTCAGACACAATCTTGTGCACGGAGAAGTACATGAAAGATTTGCTAGAGAAAGCGCTAGAGATTTGAATTAAAATTTTGAAAATGGGACGTTTCCCTGGAAGCCTGATATTTTCTCACCTTAATATTGATATAAGAGATGGAGACAGAGATTGAGATTGAAACTGATTTATTACAATGTCCATATAAGATTATATATGGTTAAATATAGAATAAATATGAATAAATATGGTTATATAATGATAAATTTATGAATAAATAGATTAAAAATATAAAATAATTGATAAATATACATATATCTAAATATATATAAAAATGAATGTTTGTATGTTTGTTTGTATGTCCGGTATACAAATTCGCAGTAGTTCACTAATTCAAACCAAAATTTCCATACATAGGTAAAAAAAATACGGGGAAAACGATAGGCTATTTCAAAAAATATATAAATCAATTATTAAAACTAAATATTCAAATTATTCTACTTAGCTCGCGAGCAGCGTCTCTAGCGGTGAAGATGGGAGGTAATATCAGCTGACCTAATGTACATGTAAAGTTTGGAGCGGGACGTTTCACAAGAGTGACATACACGGCGCCAATTTATAATTGTAACGAATAGTGTTTGAATAAAACATTTAATCGGGTAAACCCGGGCGTTGCCCGGGTCATTCGTCTAGTATAAATATAAATATACAAGTCGTGTCATTGGTGGCGCCTACCGCGGGAAAGGGAGAAAGAGAAGAGTATTCTAATTGAGAAGGATTTAGATGTTTTCAACCTAATCTATGTAGATATTGATACCATTGGATCATTCAGGAACTTCAAAGATACGTTCTGCCTTTTGATATTTTGCTATTTTAGGTTGAAGATTAATAGTGAAAGTTATTTAATAAGAAATTGCACTTTATATATTTAGATATCTTTAAATGAAAAATAAAAGATACGAAATTTAATGCCACTATAATTATTTCACTATTCTTGCACATATACACATTATAAACAAAGCATTTTATAATCATGATGTTGTAT